ACTGGCATACAAATCTTCTCTATGAAAGGTAGGGCCAGACAACACAGTTTATTCAGATCGACAATTGGAATAACATTCAAAAATATCCCGTTGCCAGTTGTGATTCTCATTATGACAAAAGTAACAGGCGGGTCGTCTAAGGGTGCAGCTCTGTGCTGTTAATTGCAATGCTTCAAACTGTCACACATTTATTATTTTATCATTTATTTTTTTCTTCTGTCATACACGCTACACGTATGCATCCACACGTTTCCCCCGCGTACAAACTAACGACAATAATTAGTATTGATTCGGGTCAACGTCGATCGGACCCGTGAAGATCCGGGTTAGAATAGGTCTTCAGCAACCCGTGCTTGTCGTAAGAGGCGGCTAGCGGGATCGGGTGGTCAGGCTCGCTGACCTGGTTGTTGCACGTCAGCGTATCCCAGTTGCGTTGATCGATGTTCATGGTATTAATTTCTGGATTGTCTGTCCAGATTCGATTATTTATAGATAGCTGCCTTATAGCTGGAGAATTGCAACAAACAAACAAACAACGTCGATCGTAGGATCCTGGCATATTCAATGGAAGTAACTTTGCACAATGAATTGAAGAGCCTTAGAAGACTGGACACACCGACAGTCATCATTCAGTTATTGCCAGTTGACATGTTACGAACTGATCGTAAAGAAACGTTAATGTCATATCCAGTACGCTTTGGCCAGTTCCTGGGGTTACAAAGGCTTGGGCGAAGAATACGAATATCGACAAAACCATGAACAAAGTCACATGTGGATTAAACAATGTCTTTTTTAATAACGAAGTTCTGATATCACGAACTTATTTCAAACGTTATTTGATTTAGTTCGAAATGTTCGTTGGGTGAAATTCCCTTTCGATATGAGTGTTAAGAAAACAGACCTCTGGATGAAACAGCATGAAAACCTTTCACTTCACTGATCCTCTGACACGACTGGTTCAATTGAGAAGTGGAAAGCTTGAAAAAACAGGTCACTCTATTTCAACTCTCTTACAGTAAATGCACCTGAGTCCAATTATTTTTTTTCAAAATGAATGAGTCCTTTCTCGGGTCAGTGTCAAGAAAGAGCTAAATATAAATCCTTCTTGTCTGGTAGTCAATTCAAGTGGTTTTCAGGATGAGAGTCTAGATTTAAAGGTCGACTTCCACTAAGCGCTGGGGATCAAAACATGTTCCATCCCTGGCTTTTAAGGTGTTTTAATGATAGTTTGAAAGACTGGGTTATTTCAAACTGTTGGCGTTAAAAGTGTTTTTTTCATATTCTGCAATTATTTTTAATGCAAGGGTCTTGTGCGTAATACTTTGTAGATACATGTACTTCAAGGGTTTATACCACTTCCTGAGACTGAAAAATGAATCTTGTCATTTAACCTGGAACCGAAATCATTGCTCTCAAATCAACGAATAATGAATGCACGTACGTCGTATTTCTATATGTACCATGTCAAAAACTCATTTTCAGCCTGTGCTACGAGTGGGCTGCAACTTTGATCGTCTTTCAAATATTAACATCTCCATATATATCAAACAACATGTTTTTAAACATCATATATTTACTTTACCCACAAGCACGAGAGGCACTTAAATGTGCCGAACGGTTCCGTTGTAGTCAAACATTAATGCCAACCCCACTCTCCCCCACCACCCCACTCCTGAAATAATATGGAGCTAACTTTGCACATCACTATTATGGCGTTTGGCATTGTGACGCAGAAAAAACGACGTCACATTGCTTGATAGAGACGAACCATGTCAAGATTCCTGGTTTCACTAAAATGTGTAGTACCCTCTGTCAGTCGTTTTGTTCTTCCCAACATGTATTGTCACACATATTGCAGGCACCACAACTCGATATATTGTAAACCAGTAGAAGTGATATTTCAAATACAGTTCTGCAGAGACGTTTGATTCAGAGGCAGGTTGTTGTGATTTGAAAACCTCTAATTGACCAATCATATTCCAGTATTCCCAAATTCATTGTATGGTGCCCGTTTAATCATGTATAATATTTGATAGTTAAAAAGAAAAGTTAGACGTGAAACGCCATAGTGTTGTCAATCATCTTTTCATCCGTTGTATAAAGTTTCTTTTCTAATTCTATCACAGCTGAAGACGGTAAAACATACGAAAACATAATACAAAGAATTTTATAGATAATAATCCTTCTTGACGAAGTACCTTCAAAACCTCAAAACTGATGGTCCTGTGAGGGTGCTAGGGTAGCATGTCCCCTTTACAGAACGTCTTGTGCTGAGAGGCGACTAAATGGATCAGGTTGTCAAGCTCGGTGACTTTATGATCGTACACCGACGGTGTTGCACGTTACTCACAGTATCAACCAATGAGTGTTTTCTGTTGCTTTATGTTTCAAAGCAAACCTTTCCAATAACACTCATCGGACTGGGAAGTGGCCTTCTGTGGTGACATCAAAGACTCACTGAGTGGCAAATGTCTACGGAGGCTCTGAGATCACTTGATGAGTTTTTATGAAGTAAATTATTAACCTGGTTAGAACAGTATAACCAGTGACTGATTGCTCTTTTACAGAAGGAATTATTGTAAATCGATAAATGTTCATATAGCATACAAATATGATGGCTGACGTGTGATGGCAATTTGTAAAGATGGGAGCCTAGTAATGCTGCACTATACTGGGGCATTAAAGCGTCTTCGGCTTTAAAAATTCAGGGCGGGCTTAGGAGGTTATTCTGATGTTGGATTAAATCTCTGCCGCTGGTGTTCAAACTGTCATGACTTTTTTGTCTGGCCTTTGATTGCAAGGATCTGTAGGTCAAGGTGAAGGCCGGATATACCGCCTACAATATACCCTTGCTAGCTGGTGAGGTTCACTTTAGACTTTTATTTTACCCAAACCTGGCTTGTACTGCTTCAAGAATCATACTAGTATATAGAATCTTAATTTGTGTTTCAAGTTTCCAGATCGACCCTATTCTGAAGCACGCTAACCTTTTTTTCTATTTTTTCTCGAGTTTCACCAAAGCTATTTCACTCTTCCTGTATTTGCCAGTATTTTATTACACAAACGTAAATTTGTTGTACTTCACTAGGAATTAACCTGTATCAAATTTTGAAAGCAGATTTTTCTGTTTTCCAAAGATAAAATAGAATATAAAGTACCTTTTGTTTGCTAAAATAGAAACACTTGGAATAGTGTGGAGGTTTTGTGACAATAAACCCAACTCACATAGTTTCAGTCTTCACCAAATAGTCATTTTGACAGTTTCATCTAAAATGTCACACACTAATTTTTAACTGAAGGACTGAGTGTTAAAAGAATATTTAAACCAAATCGCTGTACCACTGTCTTCACCAAATGGACATTTCAACTAACGTCTGATGATAATGATAGAAATGAAAGTACAGTTTAATGTGACGTGTTTAAAGTGAGGTTAAACCTAAACCACTCCCTCACTCTACTAGCGTTGTCATTCTGAAATAACACTGCTCTAACAGATATTGATTAGTTTTATTGTTGTGTATATGTTGTCTTCTTTCTTCACAGTGTTGTCTGGATAACAGGAAGAACTGTTGTAAATTATGAAAACTCTGTCTCTGTTAAAAGACTGATATCCCTCGATAATTCTTCACTGGCACTAGCCTTTATACATAGCCAGAACTGTAGCCGTTGATGCACTAACACCTGCTTAGCGCACAGTCCACTGTACGATTTTGACTACTAGTATTACCATTAGTATGTGTTTATGAATAATTAGCACTATCACTAGTGATGATGCCACGTGTTCGCGAAAAGGTGAGCGAAAACTGACACAGTGGCATCCGTCACTTACCATTGCAAAGCCAAGTCAATTAATCACCTAAAAAAAATACGGAACATATTATGCAAGTCCAAAAAATGAATTGCATCAGACATCATTTTTGACTCGTCAAATTTGGAAATGTCCTCCACATGTCTGCCACAAAACATTTTGTAAGCTTTGCTAACCCCGACAATATTGTACCCCTAAGCAAGTATCGTATGACTCTCTTTGCAATTGTCGTAGAAAGAGCCGGCTCGACAGTACCGCAAAAGTTGTGATGTCTAGACACCAAAGGCTGCATCTGCTCGAATACTGGTCGACATAACGGGAAAGTTGACAATTGGAAAGTTGACGTCATCCCTCCCACTCCACACAGGCCCGTGGATAGCTGTATTGTCACTCTTGGTTGATAGCGTGTCAACAACGTACTCCGACGTGAGCCGTTGCTCATACTATCAATCTCTGGTTTGTCTAGCCTGTACTTGATTGTTTACAGCTGAGTTCGGCTTTTAACATCAAACAAACAAAGCATTCACACACGATAGTATTGTATCAGTATTACAGGTATTTCTAACAGAAGCAATTTGTTCACACTAGGCATAAGGAATGTTGCTCTTTTGTTTGTTTCCCTGTATATAGGCGTGTCATGAAACCGTTCCTTAAGACCACACGATGGGGTAGCCGAGTGGTTAAAGTGTTCACTCATCACGCCTAGGGCCCAGGTTTCATTTCCACACTTAAGATGTTATTATTGATATAATCGATGTTTGAGTTCCAATTCATTGTGTGAAAGGACCTCTTAAAAATGCAGCCAACCTTGACTGCAAAAGCGCAAGCAGACATTGCATCAATATACAGAGCTATAAAGTACATCTTTCAATGTAACCTCATTTGCATATTTACCGTTATTTTGTTAACAACATTATTTGAACAAGATATTACTTTCCGCACTTTCGAAAAGGTGTGGTCAGGGTAATAATTATTTTCATCATCATCATCATCATCATCATCATCATCATGTACATAATCATCATCGTCCGTATTGTTATTGTCGCTATATGAATGAAACATAAATATTTTATTGTTTTCGCTCTTGCTATTATGAGCACCATCTTCGCCGTATTGTTGTTGTTGTTGTTGTTGTTGTTGTTGTTGATGTTGTTTTATATATATAACGCCTAACTACTTTCATTGATTGCAGTATGCAAACAGATGAGCGATGGAGTTTTTGCAATACTTGGCCAGAAAGAGATGACCTCCACCGACATTGTCAAGTCTTTCGCGAAGACGTTCCACATGCCGTTCATCACGCCGAGCCTGTCCCGCATTGCCGTCAGTGAAGAGTCTAACTTCGAGCTGCACATGCGCCCGGACTACACGTACGCCCTCACTGACGTCATTCATAAGCTCAACTGGGGACAGGTCCACTTCCTGTATGACAGTGACGAAGGTAAAGGTCAAAAAGGGAGATAACCCACTTCGGATTGTTTTGAAAGCCATTGCCAACTTCAAAACCCGTTTTGTCCAGTTTAAACCGACATTACGTTAGCGGTCAGAGCCGAGGGCATACTTGGTGCAATGATAATCGTAACAGCCATACTATAACATAAATCTACGATAGTCGTAAGCGCTAAAACTGTTTTAAACCCCATACGTTATAGGCCTAGGATATATGCGATAGAATAATTGTAACTCCATTGTCGGAGCTTGAAACGACGTTCATACAATGTTTCGCCCTCACTCTATGAAGGTCCATACTCCAATGAACTCACACAAAGTGAAAGCCAATTCTTATTATTTTTTCTATCACTATTTTTCACCTCGAAATATGTAGGCCTAGATCTATATACAATTTTTATTTTAGTTCGTGCGACATCATGTCTACATTGACAGCCATTTTTATCGCGGAATAAAATCTTCCTCAAAATGAGAGTGACATGAGCGTATGTATGCTGAACTTGCTTTGCAGGAACATCTGTTGCAGTTTGTTTACAACAAATGTATTCACATAACAACATCATTGGATGAGAAAGGTCTGTTAAGAACTACCTCAGCAATGACAGCGCGTCGTAATACATTTACATCAAGTAGAAGACGTAAAAATGGCCAACACGATGAAAGTGACGGGAGCGATTTTCGAAGTTGTTAATGAACCTGTGGCGGTTACATGTGTTAGTCATCACTGATCAACTGGCTGATCATTGCAACGTGATTAAAGATGTGTCAAAAAGATACTAAGGTAGATTGCTGTCGACTGTCAGTCAGTCTAGACACGGATTGAGTTGATACTGGTATAGTTTAGATGTGTATTTTATCGTTTTCTTCACTAGGATAGCTTCGATATTCCCCGGGGTTTCCCTCGGAATGTGTAACTAGTCAAATTGTTCCGTTCATACACTTCACACGTCACCTACGTGGTCATGTGACCGACCTCATGTCCAATGGAAAAGTCGTACATCGTGTAAAGTTTACATTAAAATATTATAGTGCTATGACCCCGGTAGTGACCATATATATATATTGCTGGTAAAATGTACGTGTTTGTGTGTGACTGCTTGTTCTAGTCTCTACTAATATAATGTCGGTTTTACAGTGCTCGTCCACTCAGATACCATGCCGTAGTTTAGAATGGAAATTTCACTAAGATACATTCTACTGACTCCGAGCCGACCAGTACTAGTTTTATTCCCTTAATGCCGAGCGCCAGGCAGGATAACAACAAGAACCATTTTGTAACGTCTTTTTAAACGCGCGGCCAGGGTGTCGAACCACCGACCTTCATCTCACGGGGCAGCCGCTGTGTCCACTACACCTAGCCTTGAGTACGGACACGCGTTAACTATGTAATTAGAGTAAGTTATTATTGGTAGAGTGACGGAACACATAAACATTTGTATTTGATACGTTTGGTTCATCAAAATTACCACAATTCAAATTGGCACGACCCAAGTTCCTCTTTGACACTCAAACTATATTTCCAGGCTTGTTGCGCCTGCAGCAGATATTCTGGTCCCTTCGAGATCAACCTTTTGTCGAGGGATTCGCCGTACAGCGTCTGCAAGACGTCCGAGACATCCACGACGAATTACGTCACCTTGACAGAAGTTACGCCGGGTCCTACAAAAACATCGTCCTTGACCTTTCCTCAGAAGAAGCTTACGACCTCGTCCTACGTCAGGTAGAGAATCCATTTTTGACAGGAATTGATTTTCTGTAGATTGTTTAACATTCATTGTAACAGTTCAAGATTACAACTCCCTGTTTACAAGCGGAAGGCAATGGTGTGGGAACAATCCCTGGCCATTATAACGCGAGCGCAAAGGGATGTAGATGACGTGCCTGACAATAGTATTTCCCTCAAGCTCTACATCAGTACGTGCCACGGATCGCGGCTTTCCCGGTAGTGGCGATGCCCTCGGAAACATTGCCCATTATCATTCAAATCGTATATGTGTCATTTATAGCCCCGAACAAAAACAGATGTCTGAGATGGTCTGAGAGTTGAATGCCTTAGGGTTTTGTATATTGACATTGATATCAAATAATATATCACTTTCACATACCGAGTGTGGTATTGAGTTTATTGCCGTGCGTGTTGTCGGGATTATGTGAATCACTGCTATTGGTTATAGGTGAACTGTTTTGTTTCACAATGTGTAATTAACATATCCGGTATCAGTAAGAATAATAGTGCATAATAATGTGAACATGAGATAAGGAGCCTTGTTGGTGAAAAATCACATTTTGACTTTTCATTATATTTTAAAACTACGGTATCTTTGGAACATAAAAATACAATTCACAAGCTTTAAATCATCATTATTACAGAGATACATGACATCACACATGGCGATCTTTACTAAAGTGAGCTGAAGTCAAGCAATTGATGATAGCACAATTGTTTCCTAGAACCCATATGGTCCCTTTTCTCCTGGCGGGTCATATCACTGGAACTCGATGATAGCGTATATAGCGCTTGTTGCTTCTAGAATGAGTTGTGCTTGAATTTTAGCCTGCTACTAAAAGAACAACCCATACACCTTCTGTGCCAAAGCCTGCTTGAAAACATGTGACATTCTCATTAAAAAGAGCACTGTGGTAGCCTGGTGGTTAAAACGTTCGCTCGTCACGCTGAACACCCGGGTTCGATTGCTCGCATTGGTACATTGTGTGAAGCCCATTTCTGGATGATATTTCTGGAGTATTGCTTAAAGCGGCATAGAACCATACTCACTCCCAACTCAATCTCTATAATCTTAAAACCGACTCCACGCCTCTATTACAAACTCATGAAAGGAGGTCTGGTGAACCCTTAGCGCTCTATCAAAATGAGGGATTCGTCGGCAGACCAGTAGTCTAAGACACCGCAACTCAATATACAGGATCCGCTGATTATATATTTACATATCGTGGAACAGCGTTATCTAAAAGACTTTGGCCGATGTTTGAGATTTCCTCCCACATTAAGCTGACACGTCAAGAAATAACGGACAAACTGTTTAACTGTGGCGTTCAACTCAGTCGCTCACTCGCTCACTCACTCACTCACGCACGCACGCACGCACGCACGCACGCACGCACGCACGCACGCACTAACCACAGACGTCTCTCAAACCACTACACGCGGAAACGCTCTTTTGTCTGCGTGAAATCTAGAGACCCATGTAGCTTTTAGCGTACATTTATGCAGATGAAAAGCTTCATTAACCCTAAACCCAACAAGCGCGGAAACAGCTTTTGGAAAGGGGTGTTGTTTTAGCTAAAGTTCTCGGTGAGTAAACCTGTAATTTTGTTGAAAATATTTCATAATGCTCGAATGCGTTTAAATTTTAATACCAATAAAGCTGAGGAATATAAGCACGTTTAGAATGCTAAAAAGGAGTTGCGGCACGTATGCATCATCATGTGACCCCGACACTTCGTCTTAGCCTCGAACTCACCAAATGCATCTGCACTCTCGTGATTCGAACCCTATTTCCACCTCAACTCCAATATCCCTTCCACGGAGAACAAATTTGTCAAACATGTCAAAGTATATATGGTTTAATCTAAAAGTGCACTTGAAGCGTTCAAAAGTGCTCGGTAGATAGGTCTATTTATGCCGTATCTACATGCAGACCTTCGTCCCAAAGACGCGCTGGTAATGTAGCGACGGCAGGCCACTCGATTAGACACTCGCTCTCGGTTGAAGTGTGCACCGTGTCAATAGTTATGATTACCGAGCAATGCCGTGTGTGGATCAATATTATTCATCCCTGCAGAGTCAAACCTCATTAATCAGGATCCAGCTAGTTCCTTCACCGTCAAGAATTCGAATGCCAAGACGTAAAAGTATCTTCCATCTATAAACAACTTGGGACTTACAGGATTATCAAGCTCGGATTAACGAGATCCTGAATACCAAGGTTCTTATTTACGAATTTTGGGCAAAATATTTCGGATATATTGAGGTCCGTAGAAATGAGCTGTTGGTTAACAGGTTTCGAAATAAATAGTTTGTTAATAACGGATTCCTGATTAACGAGTCTGTAATCGAATTCTTAATTCCTATTTATTCCTGGGATGACTCGGCACCGAATAAATGAGCTCCCTGCTTAAACGCCCCAATTTCTTTTCATATAGTTACATGTACATACAACGTATGCGTATATTTAAACAACAGGTAGGTTATTTAATTTCCAAAGTAGAGAGAATTAAAACGGAACATAACTCAAACCACATAACTACTTTGCACTACTTTTGACAACGTTGATGATGGGCCTAAACACCGTCTCATATCCCATACGTAAGTGTCTAATATATGCTGACTGACACGAATGCACTAGCGTATGACTCATGAAAGTATTATTCCCCTAACGACATGTATTACGAGATGTAAGTAGACCAAGATAAAGAAGGAAACCCATCCGTGCAATTACATCCAACGTTCAATACCGGCTAGACATATATCAAACCTGGCCCAAACACCTGATTACCTAGTTATTTACCATAATACCCCAGGCCTCCGCTAAACACGTGAAATTACAATTTGGATAAGTCGTTGTGGGGATGTAGTTCACGTAAATACTACTTAACAGATTATGCATTCATTTGACGTATTGATTTATTCAATTTGAAAGGTAGTTTGTCAAGTATAGCTAATCGGGGAACATCAACCGCTTGTCAATGACGCAGAGAATCGATAATCGCGGCAATGACGATGTAATAGCGGTTGTTAACTTGGGATTTATTAACGTGGAATGTTTCCAGTTGGGTTTGGTTGATTTATTTGCGATTGAAATCTATCCTTGCTTTGGACTTTGAAGTTACTCACAAAAAGGCTCCATCTCACTCCAAATACAAACATTGTATTGTTAATGTTGTTATGAGACTCGGTTGAACAAATATTGGTGGTTTATACGGGGAGATTATATCGATAACTGCATTGAAGTATGAACTAATTGGAGGCACTTTTTCGTAAGAATTGCTTTTAAACTTTACGACTGATGTACCATCTTATCTCTGGATCTGGGGGAATCCAAGACCAAACGTCTAATTAGTTGGGTTACTGGGTGTATTCCGGTCATGGGGTGTAAATAACTGACTGTATTTGTTGTGTCAACGTTGTTCGTTGGTTTTCGCTGTTTTCGGGGGATGGGGGAGGGTGGGTTCTTTGAGCTTTAATTGTGTTTTTGTTGTTGGGGGTATTTCTTTTTTGGTGTTTTTGGTCGGAGTTTTGCTGTGCTTTGCTGTGCTGTGCTGTGCTATTATCGTTTGGTGTGTTGTGTATTGTTCGGGGGAACATTTTTCTCCTTGGGCGGGAATGGTATTTAAACAATCTCAGATTTCGCTAAATGACACTTGGGTTCAAATTTAAAATCAATAAACATTGACAGTATTCATTTTCAAATTTGTCATAATAGCTGTTCAGTCGAACTTCATTGATATAAAAAAAATAATTAAAATATAAATACTTCCCTAAAGTGTTGTTTCCATGGCATCTTATAATGTTCCGGCTATGAAGAATGGTATATGCACAATGGTATATGAAGAATGGTATATGGACAATGGTATATGAAGAAGTGTATATGGACAATGGTATTTGAAGAATGGTATATGGACAATGGTATATGAAGAATGGTATACGGACAATGGTGTATGAAGAATGGTATATGGGCAATGGTATATGAAGAATGGTATATGGACAATGGTGTATGAAGAATGGTATATGCACACTGGTTTATGAAGAATGGTATATGGACAATGGTATATGAAGAATGGTATATGGACAATGGTGTATGAAGAATGGTATATGGGCAATGGTATATGAAGAATGGTATATGGACAATGGTATATGAAGAATGGTATATGGGCAATGGTATATGAAGAATGGTATATGGACAATGGTATATAAAGAATGGTATATGGACAATGGTATATGAAGAATGGTATATGGACAATGGTATATGAAGAATGGTATATAGACAATGGTATATGGACAGTCATTGTGCACATTGTGAACAACTACTGGACCAACAGCTGATAATATGCCCAAAACGTCAACTTTGCAAACAAGAACACGTTTATACTTCCTAAGCTCTTCCAATATTTTATCACCTAATTCCAGCAAAGTGTCAATTTATGACACATCCCCAATCAATACACCCGGACTCTCCCCTGGGTACAAACTAAATGATTGCGTAAAATCGATTAAGGTTGTGTCTCCCCGCAGAATTTCTGCCAAACTCACATTCGTGTTTTGTTTACTAATATTCAGAGCAATTATTGTGCGCCGTAGCCTGTTCCTCTTTGGTTGTTTCAAGTGAAATGACGATCATGAATGAATTCATGAACAGCATTCATGAGGTTCTATAAACATTACACGCCATCACTGAAGGACAGGGTCAGAGGTCAACTGATTTCAATAAGTACAAGCTGTGTCATAGATTCTGCGACCTTGAATAGGCATAACATGCCTAGTGTTAAATACGGTGACGGCGTTTACACATAACATCACTGGGGTCCGTTCAACGAAAGGAAACGCAAATACTCAAGGAATAACTGTAGTATATACCCAACCTTCTACTGCCCAATTCGGTTTTGGGTTGTTGTTTTTTCGGTTACTACAACTAAACCTGCGGATTTTTCACTTTTCAAAAGCTTGAATAGTTCTCAATTCAAGTAATTTATATGTTAATG